CAATTTACGAGCACATTAGCATAATGCGATGTTTTAAGTGCCAAGAACACTATCACAAATATGATAAATGTCTTAATAAAGAGGTCTGTGAGTTCTGCAGTGGTGAACACGAGGTACGTGACTGTCCAAAATCCCAGAAAAGATGTAGCAACTGTATGAGGGCCAACAATAAATTCAAAACAAACTACGAGACTGAACATGCAGTGAATGATCCACTCTGCCCATCCTATCTCTACTTAATAAATGTACTGAAGAGCAAAATTGACTATGCTGGTAATGGATAGTCAAGAAGTCGAAATCCTAGATGAACTCGATCTTCGTGATGATACTATTTCTGAGGAAAGTATTGATTGTGATGTGCTAAAACACAAAATTCAAATAAAAACTAAACTTTTCAATATCTTACATATTAATATTCATAGCATGCCTAAAAATTTTAATGAGTTGTTAGTTCTGCTTGAGGCATATAACCTTAATTTCTGTGACATAATTGTACTTACTGAGACTTGGCAAATAAATAATGAAAAGTTCAACATTGATGGCTACATAATGCACTATAATAATGCAAATCTTAATCAAAATGATGGAACAATAGTTTTCATTAAATCCACACTGAACTACAAAATATCTTATGAAAAATTAAACTTCTCTGGTGTTACTCTGAGCAGAATCAATTTAAGCATAAATAATATAAGCTTTGGTATTTCATGCATATACAGGCCGCCCTCCACAGACATACCGTGTTTTCTTAGGGACATTGAAGATCTGTATAATGAACACTCAGAAAATCAAATTGAAATTCTTGTTGGTGATATAAACATTAACTTAGCTGCTGAGCATGACAATGAGGTAAATAACTACATAACAATGCTGGGTCACTTTGGTTTTCTGTCGGCTATTAATAACCCAACAAGAGTCACAGCTGAAACCAGCTCCATCTTAGACCACTTGTTTATCAGAAAAAATCAAAGAACAAACCTAAAGTATAGTTCCTTTGTCTTACATTCTGCGTTTACAGATCATTATCCTATAATGCTAAACATAGATCAAGAACAAGGCACACAGCTGGGTAAAGTGAACGAACCCAATTCACTGGAAACCTTCAGACTTGATTATACAGTTTTCAATAATTTGATAAAAAATATAAATTGGCAATGTGTTTTAGAATCCCAGGACAACACAAAGATTTTCAGAAGTAATATCCGAAATTCTAAATAACTCTAAAATTAAAAGAACTTATAAAATTAAAGAACACAAAAAAATAAAACCTTGGATAACTAATGGAATCATAAATTCCATTAAAACTAAGGATACATTGAAAAAAAGACTTTTATCACACAATAATGAAAATAATAGACAAAAATTCACACAGCACAGAAATTTTCTCAACAAAATCATACGGAAGCGCAAACACGACTATTACAAAAAGGAAATCGAAAATAGTGGAAATAATCTGAAGAAGATATACAATGTTATATCCCAAGCTACAAGTGACATTAAATCAAAGTGGAATCCGAACTTGGGAATTGCTAATAACAACGTTAAATTTAATAACTATAAAGACACCGCAAATTTCTGTAACAATCATTTCATAAATGTAGGTCTCGAAATGTCTAAGAAAATTAAAAAGCCTTTAAATGTTACCAAAATTAATTTTATATCGCATTCATCAATGTTTTTAAGGCCAACTAATACAAATGAAATCATCAACCAAATTAATTCTTTAAAAGCTAACTCCTCTCCTGGAATTGATGGTATAGATTCAAAAATTGTCAAGTTTTTTCATAACTACCTAACTACCCCACTTGTACATATAGTAAATTTGATTTTTCAAACTGGTAAAGTTCCAGAAAGTTTCAAAACCGCAGTAGTTATCCCAATACATAAATCTGGGGATAAATCAAATATAAATAACTTTCGTCCTATCAGCCTTATCAATACGTTTGCTAAAATCTTTGAAAAATGCCTTAAAGATCGTTTGGTTAGTTTTCTTGAACAGGGTAAAATCATATCACCAAATCAGTTTGGTTTTATGCATGGTTTGAGCACCACAGATGCCATCTATGAACTGTCTAACTGCATAAATGAGAATCTTGACAAGGGACACAAATGCCTCGCTGTTTTCCTGGACCTTGCGAAGGCATTCGACACGGTGCCCCACCATTCACTCCTTAGCGTTCTCGATTGTTATGGCCTTAGGGGTAGTGTGCTGGATGTCTTTGCGAGTTACTTGGCGAACAGAACACAGGTTGTGAAAATTGGAGACTCTTACAGCGACCCTTTAAATATCCAAATTGGAGTTCCGCAAGGTACTGTTTTAGGACCTATTCTGTTCATCCTGTACATAAACTCCTTGACAAATATGGAAGTGGGTAATGGAACAGTAATGTCCTATGCTGATGTGACTGTGGTGGTGTTACAGGGACTTCTTGGTCTTCTGTTAAGAATTCTACAATTGAAGGAATGAGAAAAATAAAGATCTGGCTTGATTCATTCCAATTAACTCTAAATGTTTCCAAAACAAAATATATTGCCTTTTCCATTACCCATTACTAATGTGAGCAGACCGGAGTATCACAGCATTAGGGTCGATAATTTTGATAGTGATATACTTGAGGTTGATTATATAAAGTACTTGGGAATCACAGTGGATAGGAACCTTAAGTGGGATCAGCATATACTTAGACTAACAAGCAACATCCGGAAATTAGTTTACAAGTTTTACATACTGAGGGACATTTTAAGCAAGGGACTTCTAATAAGTGTATACAGGGCGTTAGTTGAGTCACTGATAAGATATGGTGTGTTTGCTTGGGGTGGCCTTTACCAAAACTCTCTGAATCCATTGAACATAGTGCAAAATTACATTCTAAAAATTATATACCGCAAAAACAAACTCTTTTCCACCAACTTACTATATTCAGTAGACATTCGGAGTGCACGTGCAATATATTGCCTCACATCATGTTCGTATATTCATAAAACTCCAAGACTGAACCAATTTGTCAATCATAAGCATGAAACGAGAGGTAAGACGGGCAAACATTTGGGGCAGGCTGTGAACAAAACATCAAAAAAATTGCGATCGTTCTCATATCTTGTGCCAAAAATGTACAAGTTATTACCTCTAGAAATAAGGTCAATGCCAAGACTAAGTAGGTTTAATGACAGATGTAGAGTATTTATATATGATAATTTTGATAGATTGTTTACTATTCTAGCGATTAGCATCAATTGTTACACTATCTTTGGGTAGGTGTATGTATATACAGGGTGTATATTTTAAGTGATACCACTATTGCTATATCCGAAACGGTAAGAGCTACAAGGTCGGTTAAATTAGAAAAAAGTTGCCGTTTTTGAAGCCCATTTAAGACTCGTTTACAGTGTTGCCAAATTCTTTTTAGTTTATGAAATACAGGGTGATTTCTAAGAAACGCCTAAAACTATTTCATCAATTATTTTGGAAACTATTGATTTTCGAGACACAATTTAAATTTAAAAGTTTTTAAATTTTTTTCGCTCTACAACATGGTGTCATCAAATTTCAAATCCCATGTTTCGTAATCGAGCTACCATCATCAACTTAATTTTTTTAAATACAGACCTGGATTTTTTATGTCATTTTTAGAAAGTGCCTTTTATTCCCTTTGTAAAAATGACATAAAAAGACCAGGTTCATATAAAAAAAAATGAAGTTGATGATGGAGGCTCGATCACGAAACGTCGGATTTGAAATTTGAATGTGCCGTGTTGTAGAGCGAAAAAAATTATAAAACTTTCAAATTTAAATTGTGTCTCGAATATCAATAGTTTTCGACATAGTTGATGAAATAGTTTTTGGCGTTTTTAAGAAATCACCCTGTATTTCATAAACTAAAAGGAATTTGACAACACTGTAAACAAGTTTTGAATGGGCATCAAAAAAGGCAACTTTTCTCTAATTTAACCGACCTTGTAGCTTGTAGCTCTTACTGTTTCGGATATAGTAATAGTGGTATCACTTAAAATATACACCCTGTATATAATAGGTATATGTTTATTAATTATTAATTGTAGTATTATAAAGGGAAAGAGGGATATTTTCAAACAATGTTGCACACACATTGCACATACAGGTGGTCTTGTCTACCTAGGTGCAATCTAAACTATATTTAAGACTTCTTAATTGTAAGCTTCTAGAAATAAGTCACAGCTCTGTAACATAGGAAAATCCAGTAATATATTTGATTTGATTTGATTTGAGTTCCCGAAAGGTTCCAATATTCCCAGAAAGTTTCCGAGAATGTTCGCGGCTTTTGAATGTTTCGGGAATTTCACATTACTAGCTGTATGTAATCATAATGGCTTGAAGCAAAATAACACATTAAACACTTAGGTACACTCTCGGAAAAATATACTCCTGGACAAAATTATTGCACCACTGCTTATGGTGCTTATGTGCAGTGGTGGTGCGATAATTTTGTCCAGGAGCATATAAAATTTTAGATTATCTCAATGCAGAAAAAAGTACATTTCAAATTGTAGACCAGTTTCTTGTTCCAAAATCTACAGTTTTCAACATGTATTACATGTAATTATTGTGGTAGATCATTTATTTTGACTAATTAGATTTGAGATTTTGTACTTCCCATTTATGTAAAATACATACCTACTACCTGCTTTGATAAATTGTAAGTGATCATTTTCAAAAGAGTTGTCTGTAAATGTGTCTGAACAATATCTGCTTGAATTTTTACTTCACTTCTGAGCAGAGGAAAAACCACTCTTCCAGAAAACTTTCCATGTTCTTATTAGTGACTGCCACAAAGTTTTAGGGATTTCTGATAGTATGCCATTAAAATTACTATGATTTTTTGAGAGGGCCTAAGAGCCCATGTTACCCATTGTAAAAAATAGCAAAAAACTGAAACAAATACATATTTAGATTTCTCTAGCAGCACAAAAAATGCCAATTTATTATTCGCCCAGCCACTTTTTAACAAGGTTTATTTTTCTAGATGAATAACATTGACATAGATTCACTCTCAGATGCGGAACTCCGCACCAAACTTATAGAATATGGATTTCCTATTATGCCAATTACAGCAACCACCAGACAGGTGATGAAAAAGAAACTGTCTCTGCTTATAGAAAACAAAAATAGAGTTGGATCAACTGATGGCAGAAGGTGATAATTTCGTTTCTCATTTTATTACATCACAATTTTATGAATGATATTTGCTTTAGATCCTTGGGAAGATATTCCAGTGAAGAAGAAACTGATGATGAAGTCAAGGCAATTAAAATCCAGAAAAATCGCCGAGTCACTATGGCGGCTCCAACTTCTAGCACCACAATCAAACCAGTCGGCAAATTTATTTCCAATCCAGAAGTAAGTTGAACTCCAAATTTTTATATACCTTTTAAAATAATGAAAATTTTTCTAGGTTGGTACTAGCAGCCCAAATATAGAATCTCGCCGGAGCGTAACCACTAACAAAAGCTCTACAAGAACATCAAGAATTTTAAAAAACGCTCGAGATGCCTTTGACACTGGCTCAGAATCAGAGTCTGATGTTATTGCATCAGAACTCTCTGAGCCTATGGATATTTCTCTCAAATACGAAGATACATACAATGACCTGCCCAATACTAGAAGAAGCACACCTATAAGAAGTAGTTTGTATTCTCCGATAAAATCTAGTGACCATAGCTTTGCAGCCACAAAAAATGTGTCGTTCGCAAGTCCATCTTCAAGATATTCCACAAGCTACACTGAATCTTCTTCTGCTTTGCCAGGATCGTTGGCTTCTAATTATGCTGCTGAAGCTCTCAGTTCAATCAGAACCAGAACTCCAACTGCTTGCTACACCACTGTGTCTCCAGCCAGTACAAGGTCCAGTATTGACCTAAACCCCAACGACACTCCATTCCTAAGCAATTTTACTAAGAGGCTATCTGTGTTGAGCAGCAACAAAAAGACGGATTATGACAGTCAAAATGATTTGGTTAAAGAGCATGATACTAATGGATCAACTATGTTTGGAGCAAGATCTTATTTGGCAAAGTAAGGATGATGATGCTCACTTTTATTGATATTTATTTTTGAACTATATTTTCTAGTTTTAGAGCCACTAGAGGTCGCGACCCAATCTACAACTATAAATCCAGAGGCAATGACAGTGGAAAGGGCAGTTTCGTGTCGTATGCGGTACTCGTTGTGGCAGCCCTGTTTTTTATCATTCTTGCCATTGTGTACCTTGGAATGAGATCTGACACTTCCATGATCACTTCTGGTAAGAAAGCTAATCCGTACTCTCCTTGAATATTCTATTCAAAAAATTATTTAACAAAAAAAAATTGAATTTAATAATGTTAGGTTGGCTAGGGATCCTTTAGTTATTATGTCTGTTGACACAAATTTGTTGAAGTTCTTGAGTGTTATCATAGGCCAAAAATATTATATATTTTTTATACTCTAAAATCTGTGCAAGCAAAAGCTTAGGTGAAAAAAACATATTTTTGCAAAAAAAACAATAGTTGATTCATATAAATAGGAAATTGAGGTTAATAACTGAAATTTAATTTGACAAATCGTTTTATGGCTATCAATTGACTTGACTAAATTTGCCGAATGAGATTATTTTTGATTAAAGTTTCCTAGAATTTTATACTAAAGTTCATTTATGCTACATATGAGATGATGTCACAAGCAATTGACGTGTCTCGCAGAAATAGAAAAAGAGAGCTTAATTGTAATAAATACAAGTAAGAAAGTAATGAAAAATGACATGCGCGCGCAACGCGTGGCTGCAGTGTAGCCAGATTGTATTGTTGCAGAACAAATGTAGACAATAAATCGAACATTATAACATTAAAGAAGTGATATATTTTCAAGTGCTCTACAACGCCTTAAATCAGACAAAAGAAGAACTTTAAAGTGTATGTTAACATTGATGGCACTTTTATTTTGATAAATGTTTCATCTGGCAACATCGCACAAGGAATATGTCAAGTATATTCTAACATAACCTTAAACGACACTGCGATAAGTTCAAGTAATACATGAAGTATTAGTTTGGTCTTTGTCGAATTACACGTTACAAAGAAAGAAGGAACGATTGAATCTGAACTCGTCCCTGAATACGAATATGACGCAAGCCCGTAACAAACTCGATTTTCATTGGACGCTCACCTGCAACCCACGAGTTGCGCGCGCACACCAGGTATTACGAGACATGTCAATCGATTTTTTTTAAATTTGATATGAATATAACATGGCAATTGGCACTAGTTGGTAGAACTAATTTATTATTTTCTTATGTTACTTTCTATTTTATGATGTCTAATGTGTAGAGTAAATGAACTTTGACTGCTTATTTTTGGAATAGATGGCATAAGTGTTTTTATTGTTACTAAATATTACACAAAGCAAATCTGAGTGGATTTCTAGTTTTTCCTAATTAATGTTTTATTTTTGTTTGTCCTGCTAAAATTGAGAAGTAGAAGTTAAATTTGGTTATTCAACATTTTCTTGGTTAAATTTAGATATAAATAACTGGTTTGTTTTTAATAATTATTAATTTTAAATTAAGGTGTTTGTAACAAAAAAATAAATGTTAAATGTAGATCGTTTTTTTTAATAATCAATAAATATTTTGCACTGTTCAAAAAAAATTGTTTTCTTTTTTTGTTTTTGTCATCATCCTACCTTTTCTCCTTTTTCATTAAATTGGTTTAGCCAAAATATTTATTGCTTATTAAAAAGTTAATAGGTATATTTTGACGCTGTTTCTTATTGTGAAGTTGACTTTAGACTTAAATTTACATAAATTCAAGAGTGCAGTCAACAGTTATAGGTAATTTTGATAAATCATAAAAAAACAATATTGAAAATGGCATATGTGAGAAGATGCTATTAGATAAACTGCTTGGCTTTTATATGTGAAAAATTAAAAATTATTTTCTAAACTGCTAACATTCTCAAGGATACTCTTTTATCCACTATTACAAGTGCTTCTCTTACTTTTTATTATTAATCGAGAGCTATACAGAGGGTTCTTGAAAAATTGTGTTCTTTTGGAACATTATTCCTTTTAAAATGATCTAGATATAGGTGTTATTAGGAAATTGCTGGTTTTAAGTGCAATGTTGGAAGATTAAATATTGAGGACATTCCAGTGGGGGACACTAAGACTGAAGACACAATGACAAATACAAGTTACAAGTGACAAGAGACAAAAATATAATAACACATGTATCAATGCTATAACACACAATAAATGGATACAAGATACAATTTACTTACCACGCCAAGATACAAAATTTCGATTTTTTGGTATTCTGTATCTGTCACTTGTACCTTGTAATTGTCATTTTGTCTCCAGCCCAAGTGAATAAGGACTTAACTAAATTTTAGGGCTAATTTTAGCCCTTCATTATTTGAAAACATGCAACTTCTGGATGTTATGTAGTTAGACTAGAGTCTATTATTGAGAAAAAAACTAGTGTACCATGTTCTTTTGACTATTAATTCCAACGGATTTCTTGGGGAGCAGTCAGGTTTTTAATAAAACCAAATCAAATCAAACTAAGCTTTATTGTCTGAAAATAACAAACGAATTTAATTGACAAAGCAAATACTTGAAGCTAGATTGTGAATCACAAAAATAATGCCAATAGCAACATTCATAATGAGCACAACCACAGATAAAAATACTACAAACAAAAAATTAAAAATCTTAATCCTAATACAACAACACAAAAAATCTAAATTAAAGGAAGTAAAAAATATAAAATTATGATTATAGTGTATCAATAAAATATTCTTCTAAATCATAATAGGCCCTCTCTAACAGCATGTATTCAATTTTATTTCTAAACGCTTTGTAACTGCCAAGGTTTTTAAAATCATTAGGTATCTTATTATAAACTTTAATACTTTTGTATATCAGGGAATTTTGTCTGAGAGTGAATTTAGGTATTGATACTGGAACGTTATGAAAATGTCTTGTTGAATAGAGATGCATGTGTGTAGAATCTTTATATTTTTTATAGACAAGGCAGACTGTCTCAAGTATATAAAGACTAGTAAGAGTTAATATGTTTTCTCTTTTAAATAATGGTTTATAGTGGTCTCTCAGGTCTGCTCCAAAAACATGTCTGACACAACGTTTTTGTGAAATGAAAACCGAATTCCACAGGTACTGGCTGCAATTACCCCAAAAAGGAATTTGATATCGCAAGTGGGATTCAACGGGTCGTATTTTCGAAACCATTCGAATGCCGTTCGTATACGAAATAAGGCGAAATTCGCATGAAAATTGAGGTTCCGTATTTTCGAATCACTTTCGAACGGTCCGTACACGATTTGGTTTGGTGGAATGTCACATTTCGCATACGATTTTACTTGATTCTGCGCATTGTTTGGAATTTTGAAGTACTAATTATTTTGTTTATATATGTTATATTTGTTGTTTATGTGCCTACCTAAATACGTTGTGCAAATTTAAAATTGTGTTCGATGTTCGTTCTCCTTTTGACTTTTGATTCATTTCCAAATAATTTGCGGATTAAATTATCCTGCTTTATTAAAAGACAGTTTTTGGAATGGCTGGATCGGATTATTTAATTGAAAGAAATGTTATTGATGCCCTCGAGGAATTTTGGTTGATGTGTTTACTTTGCGACAATGTTTCTATTTGTTTTTTATCTCCTGAAAGCTGAATTTTCCTGATTTTTAATTCTGGATGCTCCTCCACGAAGCCAACCAAATCTTTCTTTTATTCAGCAGACACAAACCCTCCAAAAACCATGATTGTTAATTAACGTTATAGAAAACAAGGACGTTCAAGAAAATCCCAACGATTAGGTGCACAAAATTTATTTCAGCAAGATCTATACCAACAGAATAAACTAAATAATACTTGATAAACTCAATGGATAAACTCAATAAACAGCCACAAAATACAAAAAAGAATAAGCCTATCCAAAACACGTAACTTTGACAAGCAAAATATGGCCGGCAAGAAGCTCGTTTACGATATCATTTTCGTAGGGCCTTCAAAAATACACATTTTAGTTCGTACACGACTTTTTATTCAAATTAGATCGCATGCGAAAGATTTCGCATGGTCTCGAAAATACGACCCCAGAGCATGATATGTGATTCTGGCCATGCCATTAACGTTCCTAGCCCACAGAAGGTTTATCGTACTGCAAAACCTGCCATTGCTATCTTAGTATTCAAGTTTAAGATGTGCTGGTTAAATTTTAAGTGGGTATCTATATGCAAACCGAGAAACTTGGTGCTTTCAATAGAGCCAATTGCCTGATTTGCCATGTCTAAATTATCTTATGAAAATTTAAAGCTAATAACTTTTGTTTTTTCTACATTAAAACACAAAAAATCACACCATGTCTTAATTTGGTGTAAGTTGTCCAAGATAATCTCCAAAATATTCAGGTCTCGATGAAACCAAAGGGGTACGATGTCATCAGCAAAGCCAGTGAACTTATATTTAACTGGTAACTTGAACAGGTCATTACCATAGATCAAAAATAAAATAGGTCCGAGGACTGAGCCTTGTGGCACACTTGTATCAATGGGTACAGACGATGACAAGGAATTGTTATTTTTGACCATTTTGTTCTTCCTGTCAAGTAAGAATTGAAAAATCATGACGAAACTCCTCTAAAGCCATAAAAGTAAATTTTGTCCAGCAGCAAGTCATGTCTGACACAATCGAACGCTTTAGAGAAGTCGCAAAATACGGCAGCTGCAACCTCTTTATCATTCAGTTTGAAGTAAAGCTGCTCGAGAAAAAAAAAATGGCATCATTGGTGCCTTTTATTGATTGAAAACCGTACTGACATTCGCTAATAATACTATGACGGTTTAAAAGATCAACAGTCCTGTCCTTAACAATTTTTTTGATTATCCTAAACAATGTATTTAAAAGGGAAATCAGTCTGAAATGGGCTAGGTCAGTGTGGGAACCTGCCTTATGTACTGGAATCACCAAAGCCACTGTTAGAGAATTAGGAAATTCCCCCAATAAAAAAAAATTGTTTATAAAGGGGTGAAAAAATGAGGGAAAGTCAGTTATTTATAGTTAAGCTACCAGTTTCGGGATCTATGCATTACATCCCATCATCAGGCTTTACAAGAGCTAAAATATAAGAAATTTTTTATTACAAAACACTAAGGAGAATCATAAAAAATCCCACAAAGTGGAGAGTCAAATAACTCACGATTCAAATTACAAGTCATTTGCTAGAAGCCAGAGTCGTGAAT